GAGAAAGAGAGTGTTGTTTCCAGCGAGAGATGTTTCAGGCATGGTTTAAGCAGACAAGAGAAACCTGGGGCTTTTATTTGTTCTTTTTATTGTCCACGTGTCCCCGACCAACCCGAAAACTGAAGTTTCGGGCTGCTTCTCTAGGAAATTCGAGCTTAATCACTAGTTGTGATGATATAAGCAATGAGATTTGTGTATGAATAAAGCCATAAGTAGATTTCATAATTTGATGATATTCAGTTTTAGCGTAGAATCTAAAGAAATTGAATGACATGATAATATCTGTGTAAAAGCCTTTGTTGATGTCCACACTGTCACTCTAATGATATCCATGCAATAATAATGATGATATACACGAAGTAATTCTCTTAATCTTTAGTCGCAATATTCAAAACAACAGTAGATAAAGTCTAAATATAATCATTATTGATATGAACTTCTCTTAACAAGTAGTTCCTAAAACAAAACACTTGAATGCATTTATCAGATTCAAAATAAATCTCGGATGGTTTTGTCATCTTTAAAATATACTATGAGGTTTTCTTAAAACTCCTTGTTAGTATTCTTAACGAATGTCACTTGGACGAGAAAATATTCGGTGGTTTACTATCACCACGTCACATGCCTACGTGGCGTATATTTTCTCATGTGGATCCATTAATAAATCGCCAAGCGGCGTCTGACATGGAGAAAAGAAAAGCCCTATTATGGCTCTCTCTCCTCTGGCGCACCTATTCCCTCAAAAAAGAAGCAAGGCATCTCGCACTTAATGCGAGCATTTATTGTCTATCCTTTCTCCTCTTTCTTTCACGTTTGAATTTTTTCTTTTTACTTTTAGAAACTCTTCTCCTTCTTCCCAGAAAGCTTCCCTTCCCTCCTCCTTCATCTTCGCTTTTGTTCTTCGCTTCCTCCAAAAATCAAAGGTGAGCTTGGGTTTCCGACGATAAACGGACGGCCGGTCGCAGCGGGGCAGCCGGGTCCCGAGCATCCTCCGCCTTCGCCTCCAACACGTGGCTCATCTCCTCCGCCTCCACCTTGTGGCCGTCGGCTCCGTTCGTCGCCATGGCCTCCGCCTCGTGGCTATGGGCTCCGCTCGTCGCCGTCAGCTCCTCCTCGTAACCTCCGCCTCCACCTTGTGGCTGTCGGCTCATCCCTGTTCTTCTTTGTTTTGTGTCTGGAAACCTTGAAGAGGCGATGCCATGCTTGATTGTTGTTCATAGTTTGGATTAAAAAAGTGCATCGATTTCGAATATGAGACTTGAGTTGAAAGTGCACACGACCTATTCGACAAATTGTTCGTAAGATTTATTTGCGAAATAATACTTTCTACTATCGAATCCGAAGATTAATCGATGTAGTTTTTATGTTATAAATCGATTAATGGTCATTGAGTGTAATTTCTTAGTCACCGAGAGTCTCTTCTGTCTTGTATTTTTTTTGAGAATGAAGAAAGCCTTGACATGCTGAGAACCAGTTTAACTTGAAGCATTTTCATGAGCATTTTATTTCATAACAAAGGCTTGTGTGGTGTACCTTCTTTGCCTGTCCTCTATTTTGTATAAAATGGCCGCTTGTCCACTGGTGGTAAACTTGCCATAGCCATATCGTGTCTTGTTGTGTTCTCTGTGCTGCTTTTAGTGATATACATATGCTGCACAAGAAGGGGAGGCATGACTATGACTTTGCACTGCTGTTATCTCCAAGGACTGGTTTTTACGTACTACTATGTTGGCCGACGTGTTTCTGCTGGAAATTCAAGTGAACATGTTTGCAATATGTTGCAGCCACTTGAGGGCTAGTGAACTTGTTTGACTTGTTTTTTTTTTTACTCTGGTTGTGCTAGTAAACATGTTTGACTTGTCCGAGATGAAATTTGACATTTTGGAGCATGATTTGAACTTCAACATTGTCAGTCGAAGTAATGACAAGAAATGTTTGCAATAAAGTGCAGCCACTTGAGGGCATTTTGTACGACGGACTGCCATGAGAAGTAGGTTGCCATCGACAAAATTGAGAGAAAAAAGGTCCACGGAATCAAAGGAAGTTGGAGGAGGGCACAAAGCAGAATGAGCAAGATGAAGGATGACTTTTGACTTTGAAATGATGAGACTAGTTCTCCTGAAAGTGTATGTAGTTGACTAACTTCAGCTAGTGCACCTTCTGGGTCTTTTTGCTATGAGCATGCACTTCTACATAGGGTAAGATCGAGTTGCAAAATGTTTTTGGGACTTGTACCGATTCACTGCTCCTTCTAGAATCAACAATGCCATATTTTGATGTTGAATTGTTGATCAATACAACAATCTTTGCTTTTGGGTGTAAGCAGTTATTTGTTTTGGAAATTACGTCTCGAGTGTTATACCTACTGAACTACTATTGACACCCTCTAATGTAACTAAATATTTGTCAAAAGTTCTTTATGCATGGATTCATGAAAGTGGTGATTTGGATGTGTTCAAAATTCGGTGTGGTGATTTCTTTTAATTTCTATTCCTACTGCAAACTGACCAAGCAATATTTGGATGCAAACTGCACCTTAACATTCGTTGATATGAACTCAGTTGGGGACATGAGTATGATCTGATACAGAAAAAAAGAACAATTTTGAAAGGATGTTGCTTTTTGCTCGGCATTTTCCAAGTTCCAAGTGAATGGCATCCACCTTTTGCAGATCCCCTGTTTTCTGACCAGAAATCATGCATGTCGAAGAAGCTCCCTCCTCCCCAAGTTAGAATTGTTCTTCAAATGCTTGTGAATTTTAAAATGCTTCCATAGAAATTGGGAGGAAAAAGTGTTTTGCGGAATGTAGTTTGAAATAATTGTATGAGCATTCCTAGCATTTCCTACTACAAACTGCATTTTACCAAAGAAGCAAAACTCACTTCAACATATGTTTGGACCTTTGCGATGGCGCATCGCCATTTTGGTTGGCCATGTGGTTGGCCATTATCAAGTAAATGAATCAGCTGCCTCGTCCCTTACAAAATTTGGTAAACTAGTGTCACAGGCCACCAGACTTGACTTCAAAGCATGTATACCAAGATGCAACTGCATCTCCCAAGGTTACACTTTTACAAATGAAAATCTGAACCAAAGAGGCATTAGTCCTCTCACTGGTTTAAATGTGACAACTATTGCAAAACCAAACATTGGGTTAAACTGTCACTCTAGTATTTGATTTCGAAATCCTTTTCATTTGCACAAGATGAAAATGACATTAAACACTTCAACTGAAGAAACACTAAACCGAGTTCTAGAACAGTAGGCTTAATCTCTGCACATTCAAAATTGCAAACAATGCCACGATAGATGAAACAAAAACAAAGCATATTAAAAAGGCAACTTTATATGCCAAAAGTTTCCTGTATCCAAATATCAATAATTAAATCCTTCAAAATAACATTATTATGCCCCAAAATAATCATAACAATTTTGCAGAAGCTGGTGTTGCGTGCTTCCTTGACATGTGTGCTCCGAAAATCAGAAGTTTGAAGAGTCTCCTGGTCAACTGAGAACGGATGCAGCCTGGTCCCATGTTGCGGCTGTTGCTTCTATACGATATCCAAAGTCCCGTCGCGGAGGCTGAGACGGGAGGGCGGAGGCGACGAGTGAGAGGTGGAGGCCACGAGGGGGAGGCGGAGGCGAGAGGATAGTGGCGGGAGCGCGGAGGCGGAGGCGGAGGGGTCTCGGGACTCAGCCTCTGCGACTGGCCTTCCACTTTTCACGGGCGGTTTCCAGAGCCGACGACGACGAAAGTGAAGAACAAAAACGAAGAACGAAGGATGAGAGGAGAGGGAAGCTTTCCGGGAAGGAGAAGAGTCCAAAGTGAAAACATTCAAACTTACGTGAAATAGGAGAGAGAGAGAGAGGGGGAGAAAGAGAACAGAGCAATTAATGCGCGCATTAATCGCTTTGCTCGCTTTGCTCACGCCTCCTATAAGCGCAAAGGAGAGAGAGTCAGTTCCTAGGGCACCAGAGGAGAGAGAAGTCCAAAATATAGTCTTTTTTTTTTATTTCGGGTCAGAGCCACGTGTCCTTTTATCAGTGATCCACGTGAGTTTATACACGTCATGTAGGCACGTGACCTGAGGTGCATAAATCACTGAATATTTTCTCTGCTTGGACTTATGATTTGCAAGATTTCTGATCATTTTCCTTATTACTAGAACATTTATTTGCACTCTCGACTCATCTTGCTTCCAAAACAATGATTCTTCCATCTCTTAAGTTCTTGTCTCATTCAATTCCATTGGTTTCAATGAACTTTAATGTGAAAAATTAGCAATGCAACCCTTTCTATTAAGTATTTACTCCGAAAATTTTTCTTATTTTTATCGCAATCATACAATAATATTATTGATGACATATAAAATATTGCTATGTCATATAATAACGATAATTACAAATTTAGGACCGTTATTAGGTCCCTATATTTCACATTAATATGCAATATGAACTCAGAATTTTGTCCAAAAGAAAGTACAAATAATGAACCCATTCGACCACTCAAATAGTTAAATAGAAGACAGTTGGAAAACGAGATTTTTTTCCTTAAACTATGTTTTTTTGTGTGGTTATATATGTTTGCTAAACTCTCCACTTTAAATTATTATCCTCTCACATAATCCCAATTTCAGAGATATTTTCAAAAACTTTTAGATCATTATTGTAAGTTATGTAACTAAAACAGGATATTGATTAATTTTTGCACAAGAATTACCATATGAATTCATATGTGATTACGGTTTTCTAACACTTATCCTAACAAGTGTCCGAACTGTTTAAGAATAGTGTTGGGTCTGCTTTCATAGTATTTTTGTATAGGCTAAGAAATTATCTCTGAACTAGGTTGATCAATATCAAAAAGTATGCCAGTGAAGCAAACAAGGGTTAAGTACCAAAGTCTACAAGTGAAACTTAGGAAATCAATATTAAATGCTTTAAGACATAAATTTTTCTAAATTAGATAAAATACAATGATTTAGGAATCCATATTTGACCTAAAGATGGCGATCTTGCTCAAGCCCCTCCTTTCTCATCCATTTCATGTAGTGTTCGAGATACCATACAGTGATCGTGTCGAATGCATGGAAAACAAACCCTTCCACTGCGTGCGACCAATAGGGGTTGCACTGTCGGTCATAACCGATCCATCGCATGCTTGCTCTGTTGAACATCTCTGCCGATGGCACAAAGATGGGACGCTTCTTCAACATTGTCATCTTTGTAGCTGTGAAAAGGGGAACCTATCATAAGCATTACAAATTATGTCAGTTTTGACGGCCTTTATGCTGTACACAACTTGCATGAAGTTGTAATTCAATAAGTGAAGTTAATCCTCTTGTTTACACCAAAAAATCACCAAGTCCTTGTAATTAATATGACACCGATCTTGAATGAGTGCAAGGCTCGGTGTCAAGTACGATTTGGTTATTGATGAATTACCGATAACGGAAATATTTGTCAATAACCATTATGATTATCAATGACCATCATATGCAACTGTCGATATACGATGGCGATTGGTCGATGATTATCACTAAGTGTTTGATGTGGAATGAAGAAGGCAAAGTGAAGATGCCGATTGAAGATGAAAGATACCGATTGACGGTTAAGTCCAATGGCATTCAAAGAGTTGTAACCGCTTGTGGATAAGGTCAACATGCAATCATGGAGCCTAAAGTTTAGGAATTGCAATTGTAATAGTTTATAATCGCATGAAGAATGTTAACTCTATTTATTTTCGGTTACAATTGCAATCCCTTAACTTTGGGCTCAATAATCACTCGTCGACCTTATCAGCAAGCGGTTACAACTCTATGAATGTCACCGAACTTAACTGTCAATTAATATTTTCATCTTCAATTGGCATATTCACTTTGCCTTCTTCATTCCATGTCCAACACTCGGTGATAATCGTCGACCAATCGCCACCGTATATCAACAGCTAATCGATAATCAGAATGGTTATTGACAAGTATTTCCATTATCAATAATTAATCAATAACCAAATCATACTTGACACCGAGCCCTACACTCATCTAGATCGGCATCATGTCGATTACAAGACTTGATCATTTTTTTTTTGTGTAAACAGTGTGTGTAAAGAGATTTGTGATCATCAATACAAACTTATGTATTTTCTCAGTTTCAGTTTACCAATATATTTCAATTTCCAGCATTTGCATTTCTTTTCGTTTAGATTTAGTTGTTCTTATCCTTGTTACGCAATTCAAATCCCGTCCAAATTGTCACTGAACCGGATTTACAAAGAAATCAAAGATAAACTTAGGTCTTTCACTAATATCTGGAGAAACGCCTCTGATACGCGTGTATGAATCAATTGTTTATACAAGACTGAACACGTGTAATACATGTCTAGCTTTAATTAGCCAAGCTTGTAGTAGTATTAACTCAACTTGCAAGCACAGTCGCTACACATAGCTATGTACAATGTTTACCTCCATGAAGCTCACGGTTTCAAATCGATACTTGGGATAAAATGGAGAAACCAAGGTTTTCTATCTAATTCGATTTACATATTTTTCAGAATTTCCCGAGAGTAATAATCTTGGTGTAATTTACTCGGCTTAGATGCACATGGGGATTATTGTTGTTGTTTTTATTTTTGTTATTATTATCTTATAAGCATGGGAGTTACAAAAAGAATAAGGGGGGAACCGAGGAGCGTCGACGGTGGAAGACTAACGAGATAGAAAGAGGAAAAAAAAGATTTAATAAAAACATTGCTTACAAACAATCAATATTAGGCTTATGTAGCATTACTATTTCTGGGAAGACTCACAAGTGAAAGAGCAAAATTTATTGCGTGGAATGGCTTGAATGAAGAATAACTAATGATGCATCATGGACCAGCACTTTGTATTCTTAAGTTTTTGCTTGAAATGGGGACCAGCATTCAGGATGTGATCAGCAAGCACAAAGCACCAATTGTGTGACTTAAATGTAGTCATCATTTTTCTCAGAAAAACTCCCTACCCCACGCGCCAAAATGACAATGGCAAGAAATTCCTCTCTCTCTCTCTCTGAATGGCTCTACGTAAGAAATACCTTTCGCCAAAGGTTGATCTTCGATGTTTATTGAATCGGGTTTTGCAGCAATTCAGATGGGAAGTAGAATGCGTAACAAAGAACTATAACTAGTTACTCTAAAGGAAAGTACATGCAGGCATTGAAAAGATAAATTGATAAACTGAAAGATACATAGGTTTGTTGATGATTGTGGATACGGTCTAGAATGATTCACCATGGCTTATATAACCTATTACAAAATGTAACCGCTCTCAAGCGGTTAATATTTGAATTATAGGTTACAATTGTATCTCCACGATTTTAGGCTCCATGATCATGTTCCATGATTGCACATCGACCTTATCTATAAGCGGTTAAAACTTTTCAATGGTCATTGGACTCAACCACATCTCCATGATTTTAGGCTCCATCATTGCTCTCCATGATGGCACATCGATCTTCTCTACAAGCCACTATGGCTTCTGAATTGTCGCTGGATCTAACCGTCAATCCACATCGTTATCTTTGGTTTCTATCTCTAACACTTATTTAAATTTATATAAGGGCCAATCCTTAACCAGTTGTCATAGTATGTTAATAATTGTACAATGATCATCGATAAGCATTTTTGCTATCCATGACTCATCGATTGTATAATCACTTGACATCGATTTTTGTACCAATGTCATGTCAATTTAGAAGATTTGGTCATTTTTAAGTGTCAACATATGCCCCATTCTTTTAAACCTTCAAAAAAGGTAAGAAACCTTTTAAAAGCATGATCAGGTGTGTATCATCCCTCTAACCTTTTCCACTTCATAGTCTGACAGTTACTTTTTCTTACCCCTTGAAATCTGGACATGTTATAGCCGCATGCTTCACAAACCATTACCATTACAAACCGTCAAGATTTGAATCAGCATTTTCGAAACATTACCTCTTTTGGCATCATATATATCGTTGGCAATATCCTATTTTTATTTTTGCTTCTATTTGCCTTCCGTCTTCAACCTTGAGCCAAATCTTTCTTCTCTTCTCTTGCTTTGATTCCAAACCTCATTTTTGTTCATTCAGAACTTCCATGGCTCCTAAAACCCCCCACAATCTCATCTTCAACATACTTGTCCCATTTCAACAAGCTCAAGGAGGAAGACTATGACAAACATCTTCTCAAGCTCCTCAATGATTCAGAAAATTCCAAGCAGGTAATTTTGTGTCCCTGTTTAATAAATCAGGGTAAAGCTTGCATTTCTTTGATACCCTTAAAGGAAGATCAATAGGGGTTGACACACAATGCCAGTGCTTCGAAGCCCTATTTGGGTGATTGAATTGGAAATGACCAACAAAAATTGGAGCACGAAGAGTGAAGAGATCAAATTGGCAAATGGAGTGCTCACAGAAGAATCTAAGGAAATACTTGAATTGTGAAATTGATTTTGGTATAGGCCTCGAATGCTTATGTTATTGAATCGAGGCAAAAGGCGTGTCTTGCCAGAGTGTAGAGAAAGAAAATAAAGAGATGTCCAAGCTTGGAGAATCCATAAAGGACCAAAAGAAAACACTTGAGATATGTTCATGCATTGACAAGGATGCATGCGTAATTTTCCTATATAATACAACAAGGATGAACCGACCCAAAGCAAATGGGGCAAATTTGGGACTAAACCTAACGTCTAACGTGTATTTAGTGCTGACGTGGAATTGCCATATCAAAAGCCTTAACGTTAGACGTGGAAAAACTCCACAAAACGTCGTCGTTACTTGCTCGACTTGGGGGAATTAAGGCGTGCTTTTTACTTCTTCAATTCGCGCGACATTCCCTGCTCTGAAGATTGGGGATATTAGGACTTGCTTTTTGCTTCTTCAATTCTCGCTCAAAGAGAGATTCGCTCTTGACAACACAAAGTCGGAGTCAACGAGCTTCTCTGTCCTCCGCACGTTAGCCCCTCTCCGTGCGTTAGCCTCTCGATTCATTTCACTCGAAGGAATTAATCATAGACAGGAGGAATTCCTCTGTGAATCGACTGAATGATGGACAAAGCGTTCCGTCTCTTCCTATACAGGCTTGCGTTCGGTCACTTGGTGGAAAGGGTGGCAGAAACTGCGAACAAGCCTCGTGACAACCAGGTATTTGCTCTTCTGTTTCTTTTGTTCTTTTTGTTTCGCTAAATTTAACAGTCATCGTATCTAATGAAGTATATGTGCATTTGTCTTGTGTTTATTATTTTTTACAATTCTTGTTACGTGTATGATTCTAGTTAGAAGCTACATGTTGGAGGATTGTTGCTGTTGTTTCCTTGTGCCGCCTGTCAGTTAGCACATTTTATTGTTTCCTCGTGGTTGTCACCATCACCTCAAGTATTGCAAATATCAAAAGATGTGCTCAAAGTCCTCCGGTTCCTGAACAGAATTCAATCGCACGAGAATGTTGGTTGATTATTTTGGTAGCTAATCGTTCCCAGGATGTGAATTGTTGTTTAAGGTTCACTTCAATCAATGTGATGTGTTCGATATTGAACTTCTAGGTTGACCATCATTTTACTTGCAAGTTTTGCTCGTTGAAAATTGGAGTATACTAGGTTGAATCAGAAGCAACGGTGACTTCATTCAATTGTTGACTCTTTAATATTTTTTTTAATAATCAGTTTATGACTTTGCGTTTTTTAACATAATGAAAGTAGCAATGATGATAGCTCATTGGACTGGAGTGATAAAGAACCAAATATATCAGATGATGAAGAGTCTGTGACAAGGGAGATGATGAGAGAATTCGAAAAAGCAAGAATGGAAAGAGGAGCAGGAGAAGGCAGATGATGGTTAAGATTTAGTTATAGATTCCACCGATATTGTTTTATATGAAGATGAGGTAGCTGATGAAGATGCAGATTCTGATAATGAATCTATAAGTGGAACTCATATTGATGATCTTGAAGAAACCAGTGGCATATCGGGCCTAATTGTTAATAGGTAAGATCTTATATATGACCATCACGAGGAATTGTTTAGTCTAGGCATGAGATTTGAATCTCATGAACAGTTCAAGAATGATGTGAAAATGTATGCCGTAATTAATGGATTCGATATTTTTTGGCAAAAGAGTGAATATAAAAGAATGGAAGCGAGGTCTGTAAGAGGATGCGGTGAGAGGTTGTACAGCGGTTGAATTTAGAATAAGAAAACTTTTGTTTTAAAGAAAGTTAGATATCCCCATAAT